TTCACTTCCCTGCTCTACTTGATCCCTGCTTGTTCCTCCCCACTCCTCTTTGCCCCTGCCATCCCAAGATTCAATTACTTTCACTACATTTAGGTTTTCTAACTGAGTGGCTGCAGTTCCCACTGTAAGGTGTGGCCTACAAAAACAACCATGGAGCTCTTCAAGGATATTGGGGATTCTCTCATTAATTTATTTCTCAAAGTATTGGTAAAAGGTATATCTTACAGACCCTCCTCCTAGGATGGCTAAATAGGTCCTAAATGACAAATACACTTAAAAAAAAGATTTTACTTATTTATTCATGAGAGAGAGAGAGAGAGAGAGAGAGAGAGAGAGAGAGAGAGAGAGAGAGAGAGAAGCAGGCTCCACGCAGAAACCTGACGTGGAACTTGATCCTGGGACCCCAGGACCATGCCCTGGGCCAAAGGCAGGTGCCAAACCGCTGAGCCACCCAGGGATCCCCAACAAATACACTTGAACATTCAAATGTCCCTAAGCCTTTGAATCTCTTCCTCTTCAGTCAGTAAACCCTGGAAGTTGAGCATTTCCAGTTCTCTTTTGGTGAGCCACTTTTTGGTTCTTGGTTCAACCAACAAACCAAACAAACTGTTAAGGGCTAACTCCTTGAATTGCAAATGTAACTCAGAAGCAATTAGATGTAGAATCTTTGCTTTATGGGCCCATATCAATAAATTCTATGTGACACAAATTTATATTCCTTCCACCATTATTCTACACTCTTAGTTTCCATTCCCACACCTGTTCCCCAGATTTCTGCTTGTATAATTTAGAAAACTCAAGCAGTTCTTTGGAAGTGTAATGTATCTCCTGCTAGGTGACATTCTGTTATCTCACCTTTAGGAGCTTGATGACTCTCGAGTCTAGTTGTAAGTCTAAAAGCAAAGAGGTAGGTCCTGAGGAAAATCAGCATTGTTTTTCATGGCAAGGCCTCAGGGAAGGCCCTCAACATTTCCTTAGGCAATGCTGTGTTAATTCCCTCAGAGGTAGATACCTCTGGGTGTTGGGAGGCTACTTCTACCAGAGGAAGAAAGATCTCTACCAATGGCAAAGACTTATCAGAATTTAGGATCTCAGTGATCTCATTTTCATCAAGGTTTTCCTACATATCCCCATTCCAACTTATATGATCCCATTATTTCCCTATCAATGCTCTCACTTTAAGAGACGACAACTGTGAGGCTGAGAGTTCAACTTGTGTTCTAACTCAGCCAATCACAGGATGAGGTTTTACATTTGATTTTTTTAAATTTTTATTTATTTATGATAGTCACAGAGAGAGAGAGAGAGAGAGAGAGAGAGGCAGAGACACAGGCAGAGGGAGAAGCAGGCTCCATGCACCGGAAGCCCGATGTGGGATTCGATCCTGGGTCTCCAGAATCGCGCCCTGGGCCAAAGGCAGGCGCCAAACCGCTGGCGCCACCCAGGGATCCCTACATTTGATTTTTGTCAGTTTTAGCTACAGGAGATAAGGGTCTCCTACAGGGCACACAGGGAAGCCCTTGGGTTATTTACGTGGTGTGTTGAGCTGGGAATTCAAATTCCTGAACTCCTCCTTTTCTTTTCTTTTCTTTTTTTTTTAACTCCTCCTTTTCTTTCACCACTTTGTCAAGCAGCATTAGGAGAAACCAACCAACATCATTACGTTCCTTAATTTTCAAAAAGTATTTGGAAGTATCATATACAGAATCACTTAGTACCTTGCTCCTAAAGGTGATTGATCAGGAGCATCCAATGCAGGTATTTTACATATCTCCATAAACAGTTAACCCCATACTGTCAGTGCTTTGTTTACTACTGGAAATAGAATCACTAGTGTATTTAAATCTAATCATATTTGAGAGCAAATTCCAGAAGCCCCAGAACCAATTCAGGAAACTCATCCTTAAAATTCCATTCCTCTAGAAACCGCTCTTGGTACCCAAACCTATATTAATTAGGGCTCTCCAGAGAAACAATAAAAAAATAGAAATATATAGAAAGATATTTATTATGAGGGATTGCTCATATTATTATGGAGGCTGATGGCTTAATCACATTTGCACAAACCATCTTTGTCATTTGTCACTTCCCTGATCTACTTGAGTCCTGCTTGGTCCTCGCCTTACTCTTTTAGTTCTCCCTTTAAAACATCCAGTCATCTCCTTGCAAATCAGAATTGAGCTCAGCTCTTTATCCTATTGTTTGTATTTAGTGAACAAAATGTTTTCACTGCTTTAATGTTCAGCTTCATTGATCTTTGACAATGGGTAGGCTATATATATATTAGATATATAGACTTATTAGATGTTGACTCTTTGCTCAATTTTGCATATTTTCTTTAATTTTTACTCTGAATATATATATACTACATATGTTTTACTATGAAATCTGTTTTTTCTTCATCATCTGATGAAACTCAAGAAATGTATGTGAAATGTATGAATGAATGACTGTTTATATATTTTGCCCATTTTCCTATCTGGTTGTATGTCTTATTCTTAATTATTTGTAGGAGATTTTACAGATTCCCAATATTCTTCACTTTTATTACATAGGTGATACATAATATTGTAGAAAAATTAGAAATTGTGATGAATTTCAATTGCAAATGGAAAACAAAATAAAGGCAAGGATTCTTAGGAATATATATGAACCAGTCATGACAAAGTAGCTTGTCTTAGAACATCTATAAAACAACAGTTTTTTGGAAATTGGTGGCCATCATGTAAAGTAGCTTCTGTAAAAATCTGCATCTTGTCCTGGGTCAGATACATTTCTGTTAAAATCATTTATATTTATTGGGGATTGGAAGCTGTAATGGAAAATTATTAAAATTTATTTCAAATAATATCTTCTTACTTATATTTTATGTTTAGTAGTTCCTGAAATTCTAGTATTTTTATTTCTTCATTATTTTCCTCACTTGAGAAAAACATTATTTAGTTAATTCTGATGTTGGTGACAATTCTGCTTTAACAATGTCAATGTTGGACATATGATAATTTTCAGTGGTTTTACATTTTTCTAGTTAACCTTACAACTGCTTCTTAAAATTTTGATTCATTTTGCATTCATTTTTCTTTTTTCGAACATCACACTGGGTGGCTTTTTAGATGCCACATATATTTTAAATTTATACTAAATTTATACTCAAAATTTATAGTCAAAATTTTTAGTAAATTTTAAATTTATACTAAATTTATACTCAAAATTTATACTCAAAGTTTTGAGTATAAATTTAAAATATATATTTTAAAATAAATACAATATTTAATTGAAGTATAACATAATATTTAATAACATATTTAATTTATATTCCTTAACAAATTATGATATTTAAACCCAAATAGGTATACATGAAAATATGTATCAAAAATAGAAATATTAATAAATACAAATGGCAGAAAATTGTGCTCTATGTTTCCAGACAAATTTGATGGAAAAAATAGTGGAAAAGATTTAATATACAGAGGTGAGTAATAGACAAGGTATCACTGTTTTACATGAATATGGTATAAAAGTTTCCCAATAAGTATATTATTCTCTGGATTAAAAAACTTTCAGGAAAGGTTTAATATTTGATCATATTTTACTTGTCAAAAGTCAAATATATCAATAAATAAAAGTTGTATTACTTATCTAATTCCTCTTTAGAGTGTTTTAAAGTCACACAAACATATATGTATAATAAAACAAAACTTTCCCTTTTATCCTGCAGTGGCTGTGGATTACAGCTCTGAACAATTAAAATAATTTGTCAATTTTCATTAAGGTTGGGATCCCTGGGTGGAGCAGCAGTTTGGCGCCTGCCTTTGGCCCACGGCGCGATCCTGGAGACCCAGGATCGAATCCCACATCGGGCTCCCGGTGCATGGAGCCTGTTTCTCCCTCTGCCTGTGTCTCTGCCTCTCTCTCTCTCTCTCTCTGTGACTATCATAAATAAAAATTTAAAACAAAAAAAAAGTTTAAAAAAAAATTTCATTAAGGTTGATCAGTAACTTCAAGAAGAAATTGCAAGGGAGAGATCCTTATGTTCATTACATATACAACCTCACCTGAAACTACAACTGCTAGTGTAGGGTAGGATCTTGTTTTTATTTACATTTTTATATCTTATATACATGGACTTTTGCAGTTATTTTTGTTTTTTTTAAGTACTGTATTCAAATATTATTTATTTTGAACACATTATTTTTTGCACTCCTTTAAATTGCTCCTGAGGTGAGATCTTCTCTTTCCTTACCCTAATCCTGGCACTTTAAAATAATTTTTGATTTTTGTGTTTTGTTTGTTAGCTGTTTTTTTTAAAATAAGTTCCTTGACCAACATTGGGCTTGAATTCATGACCCAAAAGTTCAAGAGTCACAAGGTCTACTGACTGAGCCAACCATGCACTCCCCTCCCCAAGAACTCTTTTAATTTAATAAGAGCAGGTCTCCACTTTGAAAGATAAGTGAGGAGCACAAAAGAAGCAATTAAAAATATATATGTATACAATAAACATTGAAAAAATGTGTGAATACAGTAGTACCCAGAAATGCTCCTTTAATGATTTAAGTGTACAGGTTAGTATAAATGATTACTTTTCTATTAATGGAAGAATAGGAGGCTTATCTAGCCCTTCCTAGGTTAAGAGGGTCTATGTTTCTGAGCACCTGGGTGGCTCAGATGGTTAATTGTCTGCCTTTGGCTCAGGTCATAGTCCTGGGGTACTGAGATTGCCCCAGAGCTGGGTTCCCTGATCAGTGGAAAGAAAGTCTGCTTCTCCCTCTCCCTCTGACCCTTTCCCTGCTCGTGCTTGCTCTCTCTGAAATGAATAAATAAAATCTAAAACAAACAAACAAAAAAACCTGTTTCTAAGACATGATGCAATTAGTAAAGATAAAACTTCATTATCACTAAAGATTAAATAAACAGGAGGGGCCATGCAAGCTGATGATATAAAACCATCCTTGAGGCCTACTGTCTCCCAGTCTAATTCTTAGACTTCAGAACTCTCTTCTAACATGGAACAAGACAACTCTCCAAACAGTAAGTTCCCCACACACCTGACTAAAGTTTCCATTTCATTGTCTTTCCTTTCTTTTGGGAGGAAATTGGATTAAAAACCTATTGGGCTTGCCAGAAGTTGTGGAAATTCCATCTTTAAACTTTGAAATAACTGTTAGGGTTAGGAAAATAGGGTTAGGGAGTTTCTCTCATTGAGATGAAAATATGCTGTTTTCTGTGCATTGAGCATTGGGAATTTCAGAAAGATACAGGCATTCAAGAACTAAACAAGATAGATTTCTTGCTTCAGGATGAAGGAGAGGGAGGGAGAAACACTTAAAAAAAGGAATTATGGGAGGCATGAGAAACTTCAGAGACCAGAATATCTTTGGAATCAAAGAAGCTTCCAAATTTCTTAATCTAGACTGAACTTTTCTCCTGAGCTTTAAATTTGTATATCTAATGTGTTTACTTAGCTCTAACAAGCATCTCACCTGCTTATGCTTTATTCCCTCTTCTCCAGACTGTCTAACCTTCTTGCTGTCTCTTAAATAGGCCAGGCAGGCTCCCACTGCTATCTTCAGTTCCTGCAATGTGACTTTCTAAATGTCAACATGGCTCCCTCTTTCATTTGCCTCAAGTCTTTGCTCAAGTCATTTTTCTCACTGAAGTCTTCCCTGATTCACTTAAAGCTGTGACCTTACCCTATGCATTCTCTCCTTTCCTCCTTTCCTTTTTTTTTGCCATGGAAATATTCACCATCTGGTATACTATATATTTCACTTGTTTGCTTTCTATCTCCTGACTCCATGAGGTGAGGGCTATCTTGTCTATTTTGTTCACATTGCCTAGGATAGGGTCTGACTTTTAATAGGCACTCTAGAAGTATTTTTATGAACAATTAAAATTAGATGAAAATATTATAGTTCATCCTACCTGGACTTATCTAATAGTCCTATGAGTTAATGTGTATTGGGTGAAGAAAAGTGGAAAAATCCAAGCTTTCATAGGAAAATTAGAATTTTGGAAAATTCGGATCTGTCACTTTAGGCTTGACGTATCACAATACTTTATAAAGACTTTTCTTATGGGATAAGTGGTAAATTTAATGAATGTGACTTGATCCTGGATATTATCAATTTTTGGAAGATTTGCAGAATATTGTAAGCCATTATTTTAAATCATCAATCTTTATATGCTGTGTATCTTAATATAGCATACAGCACAGTTCACTGAAATGGTTTGACTCTATGTGGCAACTAATATTTAATAAAGTTTAAGAAGCTTGTTATAGTGTATTTTTCAATTATCTGAAGGGTTATTAAAGCACAACTCTGTCCAACTACATATCTGTTTGAGTAGGTATATGCTTCATATTAAGTTAAAAGAACATTATCAAAATCAAATGAAGATCTAAGAATCCAGCTCTCTTCTATTAGTCTAGACAACAAAGATATTTCCATAAATGTAAAGCAATCCTCTTATCTCAGTAATCAGTTTTATTCAGAAAGTGATAATTTGGGACACCTGGGTGGCTCAGTGGTTGAGCGTCTGCCCTTGCCCTGGAGTTCCGGGATTGAGTCCCACATTGGGCTCCCTGCATGGTGCTTGCTTCTCCCTCTGCCTATGTCTCTGCCTCTTCTGTGTCTCTCATGAATAAATAAATAAAATATTTAAAGAAGTGATAATTTTTTATTTTTTTATTTTTATTTTCTCCCCTTCCCCCAGGAGGGGGAAAATATTTTATTTTATTTTAAATAAAAATGTTACTTTTGTTAAAGTGTAATGGGTTTATTGACATTTTAAAATGGATTAATGTTCTCACTTAATTTTTAATAAGGTATAACAAAATGGTCTTTGAGTATTTATTAAGATTTTATTTATTTATTTATTTATTTGAGAGAGAGAGAGAGAGAGAGAGAGAGAGAGAGAGATCATGAGAAGGGGGCAAGGCAGAGGGAGAGGCAGACTCCCCACTGAGCAGGGAGCCTGATTCAGGACTCAGTTCCAGGACCCTGGCTGGGATCATGACCTGAGCTGAAGGCAGACACTTAAAACTGCCTGAGTCACCCATGTGCCCATTCATTTTTAAAAGTGTAAATGGGTCTTGAAGCCAAAATCAATTGGGAATTAGTGATCTAAGAATCTTTTCTAGAGAAAAAAATTGCAAAGTTTTCATGTCTTTTTTTCTTTTTGTTATCTGCTCTTCATGACACAAAATTCCTTCCCCAGCTCATCCACAGGCATCCATCTATTTTAGTGCACTACATGCCCTTTAGGTATGTGTCTATTTTGATATGTGTGTATCCTTGACAAATATACAACATTATTTTTATGTAATATATTTTATTTATATTAGTTGATCTTTATTGAATAACTTGATATTCCTCAATTTTTTAAATTATTTTTTTAGAGAGTGCATGCATATGTGGGTGAGGGAGGCAGGTGTGGGGCAGTAGGGAGAGGGAGAGAGACTATACCTTCAGCAGGCCCCATGCTGAGTTGGGGCTTGATCTCACAACTCTTGAGATCATGACCTGAGCCGAAATCAAGAGTTGGACCCTTAACTGACTGAGCCATGGCACTCACCCTCCAATTGGAAGTTATTGAAGTAAACAACTGCATACAGTAAAATGCACAAATTGTAAGTGTAGACTTTATGTGTTTAGTCATGTAGGTATATACATTACTATATAGAAATAATATTGCTAAAAAAAGAAATAATATTGCTCTCTGTAAACCTCATTTTGTATCTTCCTTTCTTAATATTGTATCTTTGAGAGCTATCTATTTTACTTCTCTGTCCTTTTTTTCTTCATTATTTTTGTCTTAATGCATAAAATTTCATCATGGGGATATACCATATTTCACTTACCCATTCTTATGATGATGGGCATTTAGTTGCTTCAACTGCTATTACAAACAGCATTCTGAAAAAAAAAAAAACATCATGGAGATCTGACTGAGAAATAAATTACAGTATTACAATGACTTCTTACACATAATTTAAACAAGCATAGCCCAATTGCCGTACAAACTTTTTTTTTTTAGATTTTATTTATTTATGAAAGACACAGTGAGAGAGGCAGAGACACAGGCAAGGGAGAAGCAGGCTCCATGCAGGGAGCCTGACGTGGGACTCCATCCTCGCACTCTGGGATCACTCTCTGAGCCCGATGTGGGACTCGATCCTGCCACTCTGGGATCACTCTCTGAGTCAAAGACAGATGCTCAACTGCTGAGCCACCCAGGCATCCCCCGTACAGACTTTCTAAAGTACATTCCAACCAGCTCTCTGGAAGGGTTTCCATCTTCTCCGTGCCATCCCCATCATGCAAGCATCTGACTTTATCTAATTTTCTAACTTTTGAACTGCTTTCAATTATAATGTGTTTAGTCCAGCAATTTTTCCCATTGCATTTTGGCATTTTATTCAAGTAATTCTTTTCTATCTCAGTGTTAACATAGGCTTTCTTGTACATCATCTTCCATTTACTGTTACATTTTACATTAAATAATTTAAATAATACATTAAATTTTACATTAAAATGCCTTTAATTTGGCATTTTTAGATATACTGTACATAGTAGGACTCAACTTCATTTTTCTTCATACAGTAAGCCATTCTCTTTACCCAACACTGTTATTTCACACTGATTTTGGAGGCTATAGCTATCCCAAGTTCTCAGATATAACAAGATTTTTAAAAAATTTTATTTATGAGACACACACACACACAGAGAGAGAGAGAGAGAGAGAGAGAGAAGAGAGAGAGAGAGAGAGAGAGAGAGAGAGGCAGAGACACAGGCAGAGGGAGAAGCAGGCCCCATGCAGGGAGCCGGATGCGGACTCGATCCCGGGTGTCCAGGATCAGGCCCTGGGTGGAAGGCGGCGCTAAACTGCTGAGGCACCCGGGCTGCCCTATAACAAGATTTCTGTTTCTTGGCTTTCTCTTTGGTTCCATTTGTCTACTTGTCTGTTTCTGCATGAGTACCATAGGAAAAAAAAATTCTACTGCTCTATTTTATCTGGATAATTAAATCTATCGTCTTTATCCTTTTAAAAAACATATATATAATCTACTTTGTGGGCTTTTATTCTCCCTGTACATTTTAGGTTGCCCTCAATCCTATTTGATTCCTCCTCAGATAACATAGTCCTCATATCTTCATCAGAAAAATGCCAGATAGGGATCCCTGGGTGGCGCAGCGGTTTGGCGCCTGCCTTTGGCCCAGGGCACGATCCTGGAGACCCGGGATCGAATCCCACGTCAGGCTCCCGGTGCATGGAGCCTGCTTCTCCCTCTGCCTGTGTCTCTGCCTCTCTCTCTCTCTCTCTCTGTGACTATCATAAATAAATAAAAATAAAAAAATAAAAAAAGAAAAATACCAGATAACTCCAATGAGATTCTACAAAATACCTCCTCAGTACTCCTTAGAACTGTCCATAACATGAAAAACTAAGTCTGAGAAACTGTCAGAGCCAAAGGGAGCCTAAGGAGACATTATAACCCAATGTAGTATATAGTACATTGAGGAGCATCCTAGAACAGAAAAAGGATATGAGGTAAAACCTTTTTTTTTTAGATGAAAACTTTTAAAATATGAATAAAGTATGGACTTTATTTACTAATAATGTATCAGTATCGATTCATTAGTTGTGACAAATACACTGTACTAATGTAAGATGTTAATAGGGGAGGGGCACCTAGCTGGCTGGGTCGGAAGAGCATGTGACTCTTAATCTTGGGGTCATGAGTTTGAGCCCCACATTGGGTGTAGAGATTGCTTTTTAAAAAGTACAGTGAAGGGGCAGCCCGGGTGGCTCTGCGGTTTAGTGCCACCTTCGGCCCAGGGTGTGATCCTGGAGACCCTGGATCGAGTCCCACGTCAGGCTCTCTGCATGGTGCCTGCTTCTCCCTCTGCCTGTGTCTCTGCCTCTCTCTCTCTCTGTCTCTATGAATAAATAAATTAAAACAAAATCTTAAAAAAAAAAACAATGTCACACTTACCTATGAGGTAGGGAGGACTAATTCTGTTTAAAAAAAAAAATCTGCCACAGCTACTTAAGGGCTTAATGTTTCCTTTAAGCTTTTCACTGTAAAGGGATTTTCCTTCAAGAATGGATAGTCAAGGACCTGTGCACAGAGAAAATGTAAGTGACAGTATTAGATGGGTGGGGTCCTGTAAGGGCTTTTGAACCTAAAATCAACCTCAGAGCAGATCACTTTGCCATCAGAAAAATTCCATCACAGGGGCACCTGGATGGCTCAGTCAGTTAAGTGCCTGCCTTCTGCTCAGGTCATGATCCCAGGTGCTGGGATCAAGGCTCACAAGGGGCTCCCCACTCAACAGGGAGTCTGCTTCTCCCTCTTCCTTTTCCTCTGCCCCTCCCCCTGCTCATTTTCTCTCTCATGAGCTCTCAAAAAATCTTTCAAAAAAGAAAAAAAAAAAAGAAAGAAAAATTCTGTCACAGACTAGTTGGAGCATGGAGCATGGGCCTTAGACTGGAGAGTCAGAGAAGGACTGAGAAGATAGTGTTCAAGCTAGAACCTGTTGGACTAGCAAGCTAGTCCATCATCATAGGAAGAGCATCACAGGAAGAGAGGAACAAGTACCTAGCTCTGGAATAGGAGGAAGTTGGCCTGGTTAGGGGGCAGAAAGAAGTTATATGTGGTGGCTGGACGACATACTTATTCCAGGGTATAAGGCCAAATAGGTCACTATATGACGATGTCAAAGAATATAGATAAAAGCCTGATCAACATGGTATGATTTAAGAGGAATTGTGAATGATAGTAAAGTTAACTTTCCTGTTTCAGGGTGACGATCTGGCTTAGTGGGTAAAGCATGCGACTCTGATATCAACATTGTGAATTCAACCCCCACAGTGTAGAGATTACTTTAAAAAATTAAAAATCTAAAAATAAGTAAAAACACATACATAAAATTAACCTTTCCCTTTCAGTGAAGTACAATAGACCAGGAGATAGTAGACTGATATGCAATTGAAGATTTAGGCTTTTAGGAGGGATCAAACAAAAAGAATCCTTATAGACTGGAAATCCAAATGAATTCTTTTGCTTAAGGAATGTAATGAGTAACCATAGTTAGATTTTACTGGATTTTATTTTTGCATAAATGTGGAGTTTGATTTTTCTGAGAGTGACTTCAGAAATATTGGAAAACAATTGTATTAGAGACAGAAAGGAAATAAGATTCAACTTGCTCTTTCCTATGAGGTCCCAATCAAAGCAACTCAATACATTAAAGTCTCCTCTCATAAATACAGCTGTTGCACTTCCAAGCGAACCTCCAGCATCCTCAGTAACTTCTAATTCCAATTCACTAAGTCTGATTTTGTTACAAAATCATTGGTTCCAAACAAATGCCCAGGCTTTCCAGATTTGGCTATTTCAAGGTGGTGTCCCATATCTAAAATAATGTAATGTGGAATTTATTCCCTATTTGAAGATTCTACTGAAAGTTTTTTTTATAAAGATTTTATTTATTCATGAGAGACACACAGAGAGAGGCAGAGACATAGACAAAGGGAGAAGCAGGCTCCCAACAGGGAGCCCGAAGCAGGACTCAAAACCAGGACCCAGGATCATGACCTGAGCCAAAGGCAGAGGCTCAACCACTGAGCCATCCAGGTGCCCTCTACTGAAAGTATTAATTTATGCTCCCCACAGTGTTTTAAAAAACATTTTGGAAAATGATCCTATTTACCCACTACTGATGGCAATAGACTTCAAAATGATTCATAAGTACCAGACTTTTAACCAGAAAAACTGAAAGGAGCTTAATGATACTTCATTTGCTCTTCATTTCTATGGGTTTAAGTATTCATAATTGTAATTTAATTATAATTTTCTTGACTCATTGCTTTTAATCCATATGAACAGAACACATCCATTTTTCATTATTTTTGAAGATAGAAGACTTTGACTTCCCAGTCATGGCATTCAGATCAACTAGAGAAGTTCAAGAATCATCCTTATGTGTTTAAGAGCTTTATAATTGTGGCAGAGTTCTTTCCTACTGGGTTATGGTGGATTCCAAATGAGAAGAAATCAGAGACTAGCTTGAGCCTGAAGTTTGAAATGTTTAACTGGCCTATTCAATTCTCTCCTAATCTTTCCACAGAGACCATAGCAATGAATCATAGACGTAGCCGCACCAAATTCACAGAAGATCAATTGAAAATCCTAATCAAGGCATTTGACCAAAATCCTTATCCAGGTTATGCTACCAAACAAAGACTTGCTTTAGAAGTCAATGCTGAAGAGTCTAGAATCCAGGTAAGTTATAAATTCTATATCTCCAAGACTAAAAAGAGAAAGGGAGGGAACTGTTGATCAAGCACATGTTATGAGCCACTGTGCTAAAGGGCTTTGCGTGGAGTATCTTGATGGACACCCAGAACTCAAAAGATGTTGCTCTTTGTCTCACTTCACAAATGTGGATACTGAGGATGAAAGAGCTTGCAGGAGTGGAAAGGAAGTGTGCAGATACTCCTTCAGAGAAAAGGAAATGCTTGAGCTTCTTGTTAAATGCATAATTGCAGCATTTATTTACTAACTTAAAAAGATTATTATGGTCATTTTGGGATGAGATTGTGAAGACGCCAAATGCCAAGACTTGACCTAAGACTTGTCAGATGTGACAGGTATCAGTAACAATCCTGAGCTTTGATCTAATAACAATCATGCATACCCTTTGAAGAAAGGCAGTGATGGGGTTGAGATGACATAGATATTTAATTCTCTCACTTTCTTTTCCTCACTTGAGGTTTGGTTTCAGAATCGAAGAGCTAGACACCAGTGCCAGAAAAAATCAGAACCTGATGAGGACTTAGAATCAAGCCAAGACCAAGATTACCCTGAAGAGGAGATTCCAAGTAAATAGTCTACTCCAGTCCTGTTCCCCAGCAGAGTCTCTTGGATACCCAAGTGTCTCTCTACACTGGAGCTAACTGCTACTCTGAGTGGAAAAGGAATGTTCTCTCTCTCTCAGGACCTCCTGTTCAGGGTCTTCTGGTTCAAGCTTCAATATGGCCCCTGGAAAGTCTTCCATCCATGGTTCATGGACCTTCTGAGACTCTCTTGCTTACCTTCTTTCCACTGGAAAGAAACAGCAACCTAGCCATAAACTGAGTCTCCTCTAGAACCTTCTGCCAGGAATAAACTGGGGCAAGGCCCTCTTAAGGAGAGGCAACAGGTTCCAAATTGGATGGGAGACGGAGTGGGACATGTTTGGGTTCCTTGTTTGAATATGCAAACTGACCTCTGAAATATTCCTCGGCCCTCAGTCTTATATCTATCCTAGGTAGAGAAGACAGACGGTGTCGTACCAGCTATACCTCCTCACAATTACACACCCTCATTGAGGCATTTACAAACAACCCTTATCCTGGCATTGACACCAGAGAGCAACTTGCTAAAGAAATTGGTATTCCAGAGTCAAGAGTCCAAGTAAGTAATAAAGAATCTGACTGCTCCATCTCCTAGGAAGGGGAGCCACGTGGACATGCCAGACACATTTCTACTCTAGGGCTTTTCCACAAGCTGTTCTCTCAATCCAGGATCTAACCCACGTTCTCCCACAGCCAGCTCTCTCACCCCCTTAAGTTCTTTTTTGTTATAATGAATATTTTATTTTTGTTTTTCATCTTTTCACTACATTTATTATTAATATTAAAAGGTGTTTAAAAAATTCATTCTCAGTTCTCTAGTGGCTCACATTCCGCTTGCCCACATACTTGACCCATTTCCTCAGGACCAGTTCAGAATTGAATCTGTCCACTGCCATTTTCACAGAAAGCAACCAGTGCCATGGATGTAGCAGAAGGTTGGAAGAAGGCAAGTACTGCCCAGGTTCCACCCAAAGGTCAGCTGGATGGAGATCACAGAATTCTGACAGAAGGGCTGATGGCCTCACAATGATTTAGTCTGAAAAACAGGGTTGGCGAGGAGATAGGGTAGCCCACCAGAGCCTTTAACGAAGCTTTAATGAGTCAGAACACCTCAAAGATTTGCATCAAACCCAGAAGAAATGATACCAGTTGAAGAATGGGGAAGACCAAGGAGGCAGTCTTCCACAATTCTCCTATGTTGGGAGGTATGGAAAGTCTAGAGGGCACAAAGAGCCTTGCTCATTTTTGCAGAAAAGCTTAACTCTAGGATTAGGAAGTCTCAAAGCTGCCATCCACATTGAGAAAGGCTACAAAGGGATGCACAATTTCACAGGCACAGTGATCACAGATGAAAGCTGTGGGGATCACAGTACTGACACAGAAACTACAAGATACAAAAGCGAAGAGAGTGGCCTTTCAGGGGGTAACTCCACTAGTCATTCAAACTTGAGCCCAGGCCAGACGACTTGGTGAGTATCACAGAGCAGTTGGCAACATTGGAGGTAGGTGATGCCACGTAAAAAGGACTTAAAACAAGCAGCTAGAAGATGGGAATGGTAGGAAACTGCTCCAGGGCTCTCAGGAATTGACAACAGTACTGGGTACTGAGCAAATAGATGCACAAGCAATAACACCAAAGAGGTTTCCTGTTTAGCAGTCAGTTGGCGAGGGGGAAGAGGACCCAGAAGGCAGTTGAAAGTAGCAAATATGCGGTCCTGAAGGCAAGTCTGGAGGCTGGATCAGGAGTGCACATTATACACCACTGATGAAACAACTCTAGGTCCCAGGGGAGGAGTTAAGATGGTGAAGGACTAGGGTGGGGCCTAAGTTTGTCTCATCCCTTAAATACAACTAGATAGTTATCAAATCATTCTAAATACCTGGAAAATCAGAGGTCTGAGGAAACAAATACTGCCAAGTCCACAAGTAGAAAAGTGACCACCTTTTGGAAGGTAGGAGGTTTTTTTTTTTTCTTTTTTCTGGACCAAATGATGAGAAGGAGAAATTCACCTCACAATAAAGAACAATATGAGTAGTACTCACATCCAGGGATTTTATCAATGTGGGTATAAGTAAGATGTCTGAACTATAATTTAAAACAATGATTATAAAGATATTAGCTGGGTTTTTTTTAAAAAAAGCATAGAAGACACCAGATAATCCCTTACTGTAGAAAAAACTCTGGACCCCAAATGGGGCAGGTGGCCAATGGAGGTGGGTGTCACTGACTGAGGATGATGGGTGGAACAGCCTCACAGTAGTCATCACAGGGCCACAGGAAAATATATGGCCTTCAGGTGACAGAGGGCTCTTCCCAGCCTGAATGGGAAGGCAGCCTCACAGAGTAGGTCTATTATGCACAATTGGGGTGTAGAGGACAGGGATGGCATGGAAAGGGAGAGAGATGAGACAGGCAGGAAGATATGATGGGTTTGGCTTGGATAGCTGGCTAATATTGGTGTTACCAGCAGGAGGATTGGGTTCTAGAATATAAAGAGTTCCACAGGGTTGGAGGTGTCCAATTGAGATACCTAGAATAGATATCTAAGAGGCAGCTTCCATAAGACTCCAAAGCTCTGGGGAGGAGAGGATATGCCCCAGCAAAGGCTGGGAGATTTTATAAAGAAGATGGATATAAATGGCAGACTGACTTTTGAGTAAATGGTTTGGTAAAATTCTGAGAGTGTGAGTTGGGAGAGAAGAAAATAGAAGTCAGTGGTAAAATATGAAGCGAATATGTCCTAATATAGCCATTCCAATATTCTTTGGGCTAATTTTCTCCTCAAAATTCAAAGCTGAGGGACATCTGGGTGGCTCAGTGGTTGAGTGTCTGCCTTTGGCTCAGGTCATGATCCTGGGGTCCTGGGATCAAGTCCTGCATCACGCTCTCTGCAGGGACCCTGTTTCTCCCTCTGCCTATATGTCTTTACCTCTTTCTGTGTGTCTCGTGAATAAATAAATAAAATTTTAAAAATTGAAAGCTGAATATATTTTTTCCTTAATTAAGATATTGGTAGGTGCAGAAATGAGAAATGTCTGAATGACTTTGTCAACAGGGAACTAATTCTTGTAGATACTATAAGCACGGCAGATGGAGAAAGGGATTTATGATTTGGGTGTAGAAAACCATATATACAGGTCTACATATATACAGATCTTTCCAAATCAAGCATTCATCTCTAGAGTGGTCTATACTCTCAGGAAGGATGTGAAAGTTCCAGTGATATTATGTGACTTTTCCAAAGCCTGGTGTTTGGACTCTAGACCAGTGCTTTATCCTACTTGCAACCTCTGTGAAAACCAAAAGTAGTAGCTATGGAATGTGAATGTGTTTGTGCATAATATATAAAAAATGTTTTTCTAAAGTTATATTATAAATTATGTATATAGACATTTAATATGTGTCTAATGTGCATATATATGTGTAATTGATTGGCAGAGACCAGGGGTAGCAACCAATTATGTATAGTGGGATGAAAAATATCTTCCTAGACAGATATACTATCCTGGGTCATGGAAGAAAAATTGGCATTTTTGAGAGATAGGCAAAAAGACAGGGAAGAAATTCCAGGGCTTCAGTTTAGGCATGGCACTTTCAGGAAAAAAAAACAGCACTGGTAATGAGGGATCATGGAGACCTTGAAGATATGAAACTCATCATGAAGGTACTAGGTGTGAATTTTGGGCTTTATCTTCAGACCGGAAAGACGTTCCTAGATGTCATATGTAATGTCAATAATTTGGAATTAGGCCTAAAGCAAACCATCTCACTCTTCCTTCTGTCTTATGAAAAAAGCAATGGTGAAGCTTGCATGACATCACTGGTTTTAATTAATTCTCAATGTTTTACCCACTTAGATTTGGTTTCAAAATCGCAGATCCAGATTCCATGTCCAGAGAAAAAGAGAACCTGATGATAAAGACAGAACAGAGACAAGACCAGGAACAGGATCTCTGGGTTGAGAGAGTTCAAGGTAATTACTCTGTTCTCATTTTGAGTCACAAGCAGAGTCTCCTGACTGTCCAGTTCTTCCACATGGTGGAGTCAACTCTCAACTATCTCTTGGGAAGTAGAAGATATGCCTATTCAAGTGCCTCATCAGACTCCATGGAGTGAGGGGATTGGTTATAGTCTCTGAAGGCTCTTCCTAAGTTGGTGATTCCCCTAAGGAATTCATTCCTCTGGCCACTTTTCCAGCCAGAGTCCAGACACCCCAGTAGAATGTGATTTTTGTTCATTGATGTCTTCCAAGTGCCTGGTACATAGTAAACAATCAGTAAACTTTTGTGGAAGGTATGGTTGAATGAATGGAAGAATCAGTCCTTTGGTGTGTTCTGCCAGGGGCCACCTAGTGTGTGCCTTTCCTAGAAGATAGTAAGTTCCATATTGGACTAGGAAGGTGGAAACGATTTTACTTTCATGTTTGAATGTATAAACTGGCTTCTATTTTTCTTTCTTCTTATCTTTCTCCCTTAGGCATATAAACTACACAAAATGGTACCAATCTCACTCTCAGCTGTCTTATTTTTCCAGGGCCAGAGCAAGATGGATAGACATTCAGTAAGTTTGGTGTCTTCAGCTTGGGCTCTGAATCTCTCTCACTCTTCTTGAGAACATATCTTTACATACCTTCAGTTTTTCCAGAAGCTGAACCTGCTGGAGTTGGTAAACAGAACTTCAGGAGGCAGAGACAGACACATAACATCACACAGCCCTACTGATTGGTTGTGGATCCAGAGTTCAGCAGACCATGAAGACAATGAAAATAAACAGTGTTTTTCAGTCATCACAGTAATTGTGCTTTTTAAATAAAAAACATTTATTTGGTTTTCATCCCCATTTCTGGCTCAGAGCTTCTAAAACCTTTGGAATTTTCTGTGATGAGAGAAATTAGAGCATTGGCACTTTTGGTTCTTCCTCCCTGACCTCCAGGAAGTGGAGAGAGGCTGGAGGTTGAATTCTTTGTCAATGATTAATGACTGATTTTTAAAATTTTAATTCCAGTGTACTTAACGTACAGTGTTAATAGTTTCAGGTGTACAATATAGGGATTCAACAATTCTATACATCATTCAGTGTACATCATGGTAAATGTATATAATCCCCTTCACCTATTTCTCCCATCCTATCTACCTCCCCTCTGCATACCATCGGTTTGTTCTCTAGAGTTAAGAGTCTGTTTTTTTGTTTCTTAAATTCACATATATGTGAAATCATATGGTATTTGTCTTTCTGACTGATTTGTTTTAACATGTGGCTTTTTAAAAAGTTTTTCTTAAGGTTTATTTATTTGAGAGAGAGAAAGCCCACGAGCACTTGCAAATGCATGGAGGGGTAGAGGGAGAGAATCTTTGAAGCATCTCAGAGCCTGACACAGGGCTCAATCCCATGACTCATGAGATCATGACTTGAGCTAAAACAGAATTGGATGCTTAACGGACTGAGCCACCCAAGTGCCCCCTCTTTTAAAAAATTTTATTTATTTTTATTTTTTAGTAATCTCTACCCCCTGTTAGGGCTCAAACTCAACCTCAATATCAAGAGCTGTATGCTCTACTGACTGAGGCAGCCAGGCTCCTCTTGATTTATTTCATTTAGCATTATATTCTCTAGATCTATCATGGTGTTGCAAATGGCCAGATTTTTTTAAATGATTTTATTTATTGGAGAGAGAGAGAGAGAGTGAGCAGGAGCAAGGAGGAGGGACAGAGGGAGAGGGAGAAGCAGAGTCCCCACCGAGCAGGGAGCCCAATGTGGGGCTCAATCCCAGGACCCCAGGATCATGATCCAAGTCTAAGGGAGATGCTCAACCGACTGAGCCACCAAGGCACCCCAATGTTATTATTATTATTTTTCCCAATGTTATTATTTTTATGGCTGAGTAATATTCCATTATTTTTAAAGTTTTATTTATTTAAGAGGGAGTATGAGTGGGAGGGGCAGAGAGAGGGAGAAAGAATCTCAAGCAGACTCTGTGCCAGGCACAGAGCTCCACATGGGACTTGATCTCATGATCCTGGGATTGGGACCTGAGGTAAAACCAAGAGTCAGCCACTTAACTGACTGTGACACTCAGGTGCCCCATAAATTATTTTCATTTATATGTTATAGTAACTCTAGGAAACAAACTGAGGGTGGCCAGAGGGGAGGTGGGTGGGGGGATGGGGTAACTGGGTGATGGGCATTAAGGAGGGCATGTGATGTGATGAGCACTAGGTGTTGTATGCAACTGATGAATCACTAAACTCTACCTATGAAACTAATACACTGTATGTTAATTGGATTTAAGTAAAAAAAAAATAAAGGCAAAAAGTGTAGTCACATGTGTCTAGTGGTTACCCTATTGAATGGTGCAGATCTAGAAAGCATTTTGTTTTTTTTTTGTTGTTTTTTTTTTAGAAAGCATTTTGTGAACTATTTAAACATTACATGGGCAGTGTCTTTCTAATTTTATAAATGTACTCCTCAAACACTGGTACCTGTTTATTTGATGGTGTTAGTAGCTTAGAAAGTCTAACATAAAACTCTATCTTAATCACAGCAACACTGAAGCAGTGTGCTATTGGTTAATGAGGTTAAGACTAGTAGAAAAATTTAAGCTTGTTTCCTAGACAACTTTTACCCCAATTAGCTATTGGCCTTTTAAGACCCCACTAACAAACCTATTAGCTGTCTCTGCAGAAGCCTGGATTCAAGGTCAACTGATAACGGTCTCAACTCATGAACAAGGAAGGACCTGCATTTCTCATTACTCAAGAAAATGAGCCAAGATCCCATCTATTTTTTAAGATATTTTATTTATTTGGGATAAAGGGAGCACAGAAGCAGGAGAAGTGGCAGGCAGAGGGAAAAGCAGACTCCCCACTGAGCAAGGAGCCCAATGTGGGACTCGATTCCAGGACCCCAAGATTATGACCTGAGCTGAAGGCAGACACTTAACTGACTGGGCCATCCAGGCTTTCGGACCCCATCCAGTTTATACCAGCTCCCAGAACACGCCCATCATTGCTTCCCCTTGTCTTAATATAACCACCTGGTATCAGGAGCTGTGTTTTGCTTTGTGCTGGTGTTGTCTTCACTTCCAATGAACATGGAATATAGGTTATGTATATATATGCTCATTACGCATGCTCTATCTTTACTCATGAAAAGTCATGCTTCTCTACCCTTTTCATTTATATAACGTAATGTCAATCCCTTTGATTATAAAAAAAAACTTGTTCTGTCCCCCTTCCAGAAGGTGGACTTGAAACTTTTCTTCTCACCTTGTACATGACTCAAATGAAGAAACCTAATATATGCAATAAGGCACATGAATATTAACAGTGGGCTGGCATCAAACCCAAGTCAGAAAAAGAACTAAAGAAAATGAACTTGGCTCATTCATAAATACTTAATGAAGATAAAGTAACCTGGGTGGTTTGGGGGCAAGAGCTCCTTAAAATAAAAGGGCATGGATCTGGAGAATAAACAGAGCCAATAAATTTGGGGAGGCTCATGAAAGAGAACTGGGTTGTGTGTTAGGGATTAACACCAGTCCTGGACACTACAGGGTTAAGATGAATGTGGAATTTCTCATCTACCTCGCTTGCTATGAAACCCCTGAATCTGTGTGTGTACAGCAACTTCTGGGACAAACATAATAATGAATATATGCAAGTACTTTGTACCAGGGGGCCTTCTGAGTTCTTTTTGTGTCTCAGACCAGTTAATCCTCACTACATTGTGACTCCCTCCATTGTGATTATGGCAGATGAGGTAGTTGAGGCCAGAGTGATAATGTCATATATTGGAGTTCTGACAGCTAGTACAAGGTGGATTAGAGAAGTTTGGCTCCAGAGTCCATTTGTTTAACCACTAGCTATCCAGCTTCTCACAGCCTGCTGGAGACTTTCAGAGCAAGTAGCCTTTTGTTCAGGGAAGTGCTAAAGTTGGAGGGGTATCAGTTTAAAGTCATGAGCTTACATACGGCATGGTAAGAAGATGCAGTAGCAAGTTCCTCCATAATTCTGAAGTGTTAGGTAATAGTTACTTATAAATTATTTTTATTTAAGAAGGATGCCTTTTAAATTTATTTACTAGAGAGAGTGGGGGAGAAGGGGCAGAGGGAGAAGAAGAGACTCTCAGAGTCCTGCTGAGCCTGATGAGCTTGATCTCATGACCCTGAGATCATGACCTGGGCTGAAATCAAAGAGTCAGGTGCTTAACCAACTGAGCCACCCAAGAGCCCTTAAGAAAAATGCTTTATCACTCGATTCCAGTTCTGCAGTTTGAGAATAATATCTACAGTTTGAGACATTGTGGTCACTTTTAGGTGGTGCTTTGGAGTTAGCAGAGGTATTTTCAAGTGAATTTCCACACAGACAGTAAACCAGCATGTGATGCTTCTGCATGTTGAGGACCCAGCTCAACAGTTTCACCACTTTTACCATTCATACTACTCTGAAATTCTTGTTCTTGCCATGTGGAGATAGCAATGATGCTGTCAAATTAGATCTTGGGACTCTAAACACATTGGAAAATGTCTCGAGGCTCTATCACCATTTATTTTTTCAAACCATTAGTCTTAAGAAACCCTCTCCACTAACACTAAACCATCACCCTGACATTTCTGAAGGATGATAAAGCAACTTTCCCGTAGCAATTCTCACTTCTGCCACAGTTAGGGAGAAAAATAATATAAATCATTCCTTTCATTTCACCCTTCAGATCAGGGCTGATCAGTAGAATCAGTTCATTTTTTCAGAAATACAATCTTTAAAAAAAAGTTTTACGTTCACACCAAGGTACAGAAAATTCCCAGTTGGCATGCCATTTTTTAGTTCAAAAAAAAAAAAAAAAAGGAAAGTTCCCATATTCCACCCCCCCCCATAGCTTCCTTTATTATCAACATGCCTCACCAGAGTGGTACATTTGTTGCAGATGATGAATCTACATGGACTCATCATTATTACCCAAAGAC